AACAAAAGTTTCCACCGGGGGGCATCCCGAGCCAAACAAGTTTGGACCAAGGAAGATCCACATTCTCATTCTCGTTCATTAACTTTAAGCATGACTTGACAGAATACATACCCTCTCCATTTCCTGTCCAAACATAACTATCTTTTATGTTTGAGCCATCGAGAAAGTTACAAAGAATATAATTTAATTCAAGCCAATGCTCCAACTCCCAATCCGCAAGATTTCTCCTCACCTGAATATCCTGAAACCAACTCGATTGACTTTTCTTTCTAAAATATGCGAGTCTCCCCCATTTGTTTACCGAAAGAACATACAACCTTGGAAACCGATCTTTCAAAGCCACACTCCCAACCCAAACATCATACCAAAACAATATAGCCTCTCCATTACCCACTTTTAAACGAATGCGATTCTTATAACAATCCCCAAAATAATCATTTGCCAAACAATTCTTTACCACCCCTTTCCAAATCCAAGAAGCTCTGGGAAAAGTCGAAGTCTCGACTGAAATGGACCTTGGATCAACATCATTCTTGCAACAAATCACCCTTTTCCACCACGAATCATATTCGGTTGCAAATCTCCACGACCATTTGCCCAATATCTCTCTATTCAACAAATTCAGATTTGTGACCCCTAAGCCTCCCAACTCATTCGACTTGCAAACTAACGACAAATTGACCCAATGTATCCCTCTCTTTTCATCCAAACCTCCCCATAAAAATTTTTCCATAATCGAGTTTAGCTTCGATAAAACGCAGGAGGGCAACCTAAAAATAGATAAGAAATAGATAGGCAATGAGCATAAAACCAACTTAACCAATACCACTCTCCCCGCAAGAGAAAGAGAAGCTGCTTTCCACCCCGAAAGCTTCTAATAGAACCTCTGAATTACCGGATCCCAAAGAGCAACTGAATTCTTCCTCGCACCAAGAGGTAACCCTAAGTATTCTGACGGAAAAACACCCACATAACATCCAATTGAGGCAGCCCACTCATTCAAAACAACAACATCAACATTTATGCCAAATATTCTACTTTTGGATAGGTTCAGTTGGAATCCTGACATCAATTCAAATAAGGAAAGAACCCTATAAACATTATGCAATTCCCCATTGGTTGCATTGCAAAAAATAATAAAGTCGTCAGTAAATTGTAAATGAGAAAGCATGAAAGAATTATTCGAGTTACCAATCTCAAATCCTCTAAACAACCCTACATTCACCGCCTTAACTAGCATTTGATTCAGTAACTCCCCACCAAATTAAATAGAAACGGAGACAATGAACAACCCTGATAAAGGCCTCTTGCAGAGACCCATTCACTAAAATAGAGATAGAGGCTGAAGACAAGCATATATATATCCAAGAGCGCTACCTTTGATCGAATCCCATGTATTCTATTATTTTCATCAAAATATTCCAATCCACAAAATTGTAAGCTCTTTTGAAATCAATCTTAAACACGATACCTTTACGACCTTTCTTCCTCCAATAGTCAATTCCCTCGTTAGCAATGAGCGAACAATCCATAATCTGCCTTCCCGGGATAAAAGAAAACTGAGAAGGTCCAATTAATGAGTCAATACACACCCTTAGCCTTTTCGAAAACACCTTGGATAAAATTTTATATAGCCCTCCAACCAAGCTAATAGGCCTGTAATCCTCCAAACTAACCGAGTTTGCCTTCTTAAGTATGAGGGTTATGAAAGAATGGTTAACCCCCTTTTCCCACTATTTCCTCTTGAAAAAGTTTTTAAAAAAGTTTAAGATTCCATCTTTCAGATGTGGCACAAACTTCTTAAAAAAACCCATATTCAGGCCATCGGGACCCAGAGCTTTGTAACTATCCGCAGAGGCAATAGCCTCCCAAATCTCCTCCTCTGTAAATTGACTTTCCAAAAATGAGCTTTGCTCCTCGGACAATTTAGAAAAATTGAAATCCATATTCTCCACTCCAAGCGTATATATCTGATTGTACGCCTCTTTGAAAAAATCCTCAACACTAGATTTTATTCTTCTTGGATCCGAAATCATCTCATCACCAACCTTTAAAGACTTAATATAATTCAGTCTCCCTCTATTCGCCGCACACTAATGTAAAAATCGGGAATTCCTAACACCCTCCAAATTCCACTTAACTCTGGACTTTTGAAACCAAATTTGCTCGTCCTTCCTAGACTACTTCCATAGTTCCTTTCTTTCCTTAGCCACCTCTTCGATGGAAATTATAAAAGTCCCCTACTGAAGAGCCACCTCCATATCGTGAATGAAACGCTCAAGGTTAGATAGCAAACCAGGCAGCTCAAGGTGTATACTTTTACACCACTTTTTTATGGTTGCTTTGGAGCCCTTTAAAACAATGAAAATTCCCAATTTTCTACCACCCTTTTGAAGCTCCTTCAGCTCCTTTTCCATCATTTCTTTGAATCCCTCTTCTTCCATCACATAATTAAATAACCTAAAAGGCTTAGGACCTCAATTCACCCCACTGTTCTCCAATAAAATTGCATTATGATTTGATATGGATCTCAAAAGAAGAGACTGACTAACCTTAGGACAAACTGCAAAAAACCGAGAATCAACCAGGAACCTGTCCAATCTGACAAAGGTTGAGAATTCCCTATTATAGTTCCAAGTAAACCGCCCTCTAGCTAAAGACAAATCATTCAAATTCGTTTGAAGAACAAAATCGCTGATCTGCCCAATTTCTCCTCCTGAGATAGGTACACGTTGAAGTCACCCCTAACAAATCGGACAATCTTGCTATTCTACAAACGAGAGAAGCTCCCTGGAAAAAAATTCCTTCTCAGAATCGACTGAAGGGCCATACACGTTAATAAAACAAACTTGTCCTGAGGAACCCTTTAAATTACCGATAATAGCAATAAACCTTTTGTGCATGTGCTTGGAATAAAGATAAAAAACCTTCTCATGCACCTTCTGCAGGAGACCAGACGCAACCCCTCAAAAAAATTCCCTCATAGTCTTCTAATAAGAGTGGGTTTCATTGATTCCAGTTTCGATTCTTGAATAAATAAGAAATATGGCTTCTTTTCAGAGATCAGATTCCTCACTGCACTTGACTTCTCCTTCCTACCAAGACTGTAACACCCCCAACCCGTATCCGATCCGGATCCGAGTCCGAGATGTCACATTGACTTTTCAAACTTTGACACTTAAAGAAAAACATGAAAATTTTAAACTTTCATTAAAATAAAAGATGTTAATCCACACAAGTTGGACCCAAAATAAACAAAATCAATCAGAGCATTAGTAATTCACAATTTCGTTACATGCCAACACACTATATACAACCAAATATCTACACTTAACTACAATTCTGATCTGATATGTGGAAAGGAGAGTCTGACCTGTCTTGCTCCTCTTCACTTCTCATCTCGCTTTTCAGAACCTACGTGTGAAACACTCACACGCTAAATCGATGACTTAGTGAGACAAATAAACATATAATGTAAACTATAACTTGTAATCATGCATGAATAGTTACTAATATTATATCATACCACTCATATTCTTATTTATGTAACAAATACACTACATACATACATACATACATATATATATATATATATATATATATATATCATTATCATTCATATCTCTTATTCTCTTATTTATATAATCTCTCATGTTCATATCATATCATATATCTTAGCAGGTACTCACTTATATCATATAACATATACAATCAAGTAACTATATTATCATCTTCATTTTTATCACTATCATAGATTCCTTTTATCATATGATCTTATAATTACCATTTGTACAATCATATATCACACATAACATTTCACAAGGAAACAAACACATCATCATATCAAGTTCATTTATATTATCTCTTTATTAGCCCATGTACACATGTGAGAACTAAAGATATGCGAGTATATAGAGGTTGTGCACTATGCTATCACCATAACTCGTATAATTCCCTCAAGGGGCACTGAATATTTGTCCCGAAGGACCACTATGTCCCGAAGGACAACTGATTGTTCCGAAGAACCACTATGTCCCGAAGGACCATTGTTTATCCCTCGACTCTTGGCATGCCAACTATACCCCTAGCTCTCATATTATATAACATGGGCATTATCTTTTATACCGTTACACATCTTCACATAGCCACATAGCTTTTCACATAACATTTCCATTTGCATATGTAATTACTTAACTTATTTTCACATAGCTCATGTTCCATATTCATATCTCATAAGCACGTAGTTCATATTACTTATATTCGCATATACATTTACATTACCAATTCACATAAGCTCATATATTCACATGGATTATTTCTCATAGCATATCACATAGCTTCTATTCTTTCTCATGTAGTCACATAGATCCATGGCATATAACATATATCCAAATTGCATATAATCACGTAGATCATTTCTTAGTTGTTCATGTAAACCTAAATATCATATCTTTTTCACATATAATCCTATATACTTCATATAGTACATAGAAACACCTAGAACACTTCCACGTAGCCTATATAAATTTTCAGAGTCCTTTCATATTACTTGATAACATATATCATATATGTATATAATAACTTATGTCATATCATCTACCTTATGCTTCATTTCTTTGTATTCCCTTAGATTACATAAACTATGTCGTATTTCTAAACATATACCGTTTAATAGTATTTTATTTATATATTAGTTTAATCTATTTACTTAATTCAATTTTATATATTCCTTATAACCTTTTTATATAGCTCCATAAATCTTTAGCATATAACTTATCTTATATATTCGTATCATCATTTTTATATTCAAGTTTCCTAATTGATATACTATTCCCATTTCATTTTATAATTCAATCTTATTTAGTTCCCTTAACACTCATTAAATCAAAAAGCTCTATTATACTAATTCTCATAATGGATCATACCACTATGTACTTGTCCAACTCATGTTTCTATTAAGCATATACTGTTACACATGTTTACCTAGTTCCTATCACTTCTCATGAACTCACTTTCATCATATTTTCCTATTATTACATATTTTATCTCATAACCATGTATTCACATAGTCTTATATTTCATTATCATATGAATTATATTTGTTCTCCTATTACTCTTTAAAGACATCTATTTCCATTTCCATATATTACTCGACTTATCTTCTATATTCCTATAATTTCATAACTTATTTTATATTCTCTCATTAACTCTTAATGGTGTTTTTACGTAAACCACATAGCACATACAAAAACATATCAATTCATATAATCAAACATACATACACTTCATGTTGTTAACATACTTATGATCAAGACTTAATGAGCTATTACTATAGAAAATAAACTTATCACAACTCCAATTTCCATATAATCTTATAAAAATAAAATGCACTCACCTTGGCCTCACTACATTCCAATCCACTTATGATTTCCTCTCTTTCGATCAAATCTTAACTTGATAATCATTCTGGAGCTTATTCATGTTGGATATCTACATAATCACACATTGATACATATCAATATCCAATTGATATACTCTAATCTATCATTTCTTAGACCAAAAGAAAGGTATATTTCTATTTCCCCTTTGAAGTGTATCGATACATTCTACAGTGCATCGATGTATTCTTTAATATGTGCATCAATGCACTACCCATGCATCGATACACAAATCACCTTCGATGTTTTCATTTTAAGGGGTGCATCGATGCACTCCTTATACATCGATGCACTAATTGCGTTCGATGTTCATTTATTTGAGAGTGCATCGATGCACTAATTGCATTCGATGTTCATTTATTTGAGAGTGCATCGATATACATTGAAGATGCATCGATGCAAATTACCCAGAATTACATTTTAAGCACGAACATGTCTTGTTTTGACCCCAAATTCTGCTTATTAATCCTTCCTTATACCTTAAAACTTACCTATACATATTTAAACCTTCTTACAATACTATAACACTTCACCATATCTCACAATTCACCATAATTCTTGAATCAAAGAATTTCATCAAATTTTCCATGTGTTCTAAATTCAATTCTATTACCCATGCATCGATACACAAATCACCTTCGATGTTTTCATTTTAAGGGGTGCATCGATGCACTCCTTATACATCGATGCACTAATTGCGTTCGATGTTCATTTATTTGAGAGTGCATCGATGCACTAATTGCATTCGATGTTCATTTATTTGAGAGTGCATCGATATACATTGAAGATGCATCGATGCAAATTACCCAGAATTACATTTTAAGCACGAACATGTCTTGTTTTGACCCCAAATTCTGCTTATTAATCCTTCCTTATACCTTAAAACTTACCTATACATATTTAAACCTTCTTACAATACTATAACACTTCACCATATCTCACAATTCACCATAATTCTTGAATCAAAGAATTTCATCAAATTTTCCATGTGTTCTAAATTCAATTCTATCACCTCTAACTTCTTAATTAACCCTTTGACAAGTCAAATCCATCTTTAGAACTTCAAAAATCTTTCTATAACAAAAGTTCATTTCTACACCCTTCATATAATTTCCTTTTTAATTCTCTATTCTTGATGTTTAAAGCTTATATAAGCTTTCCTTAAGCTTATATAATACTCAAAGAATCAAAATCAACTTATAAATCCAAGAATTAAACAACTAAAATTAAACTCACCTATAACTGAGACTTACGGGGAGAAGAAGAAGCTGGAGAAGAAGACTCTAGATAGATTTTCCTCATTTCCCACGTTTTTATATTCCTTAAAAAAGAGAATAAAATCTTCTCTTAGAAAAGACCATAATACCCTTATTACTTTCCAACTTTACTATTAAATCCAACATCAAATATCTTCAATTAAATCCATGAACTTTTAACTTATTTCAAAATCAAGCACATAGTTTTCAAAACTTGCAATTTAGTCACTAACCCTGAATTTTGGGATATTACAAAGACCCCTTACATTCCACGAAATAATAGCAAACTTTGACATTATAAATTGTATAAAAAACCTATCCTCTCTGGGACATTAATTCCCATCCCCGTTACACCTAGATTTCACTTTAGCAGAAGCTTTCTTGGTGAAGGCTCTTTTCCCTCCACGAAAAGTGATACCCTACAAATTACTAGTATTCCATATAGCATTCGCCTCTTCCATCTCCTTCGAGATTTGAGGGGAGACATGAGAAGGATCCTAAGATCTATCACCCTCGACACTTTTTCCTATGGATCTACAGTAAACCCTCCTGAAAAGCCTGCTCTCCCTCCTCCCTTATGAAATAGAACTCCCTGCATAACACCTTCAATTCAAGGTGGAAGGAGATTACTGAGAAGAAAACCTCTTTTGAGAACTGGCACGAGTCTCATCCAAAAGCGTATATGCCTCTAAATTTAATTCCAACTCTCTGCGATTTTTCTCATCCCTTCCAAGTGGGTCTAAAGAACTGTCTCCTTCCAAGCCTAGATTGTGAGCATCTTTTCCTAACCCGATCCATATCCTTCCGAACTGGCCCATCATCTAACTTAGGGATATTACCAGGCCCAATATTATTAATGACCTTGTTTCCACCCACCTCACAATCCAATAGTTCATTCCTCGACAGATCCTGTTGCATGGAGACTACGTAATTATTATGCTCTTCCCTCGACTCTCTCACATCCTGCCCCTTGAATCATTAATATCACCGACATTCCCTCCCTTGCCACCTGTCAGGTTCTACTGGAGCCAAGACTACACCTTTTCCCGAGACGACGCTTCTGATTGATGGGCTTCTCGACCTTTCTGTCTAGGGGAGACTTCAGTTTGAAAAGATTCCGTTGAACTTCCTTCCAAATTATCATTTGATTCCTCAATACCGCTCTTGTTTGACTCAGGAAAAAAGTTCACCATTTCAGCCTCAATTTTAATCACATACGATCTCCCTTTCGTATTGATTGTCACAGAAGTTGGAACATTATTTTTGATAAAAAGGAAGGCCTCGTTAAAAACCCCCTTCATAACCGTCAAGCAACAAAGACTCACCGAACATTGGAAGGAGGAAAAGAGTGCCTTAGAAATTTTATTGCATAAGAACCAAGTACAATAAGATCATACTACCACCCAAAAATGGTGGCAGCCCACTCAACCCATTGCTAAACAGCAATACCTATATGAATATGTTTATACCCTTCAAAGAAACTCCATCCAACCATACGACAGAGGTTGGAACATCAAAAGGACTTGCCACTCGAAGAAGTAGCTGAGCCACCCGAAGGTCATTCTTCTGAAGTTTCTCCTCCTTAATCTCCACCACTGATCCCCATCTTGAATCCAAACTGTTGAAGAACACTCCACTCTAGCAATTGAGGGGTACACCCATCAAGGAAACATAACAAAAAGCTAACAGCAGTCCCCCATCCAAAGAAATTGGAGTTAGCCAATCAAACCAAACTTTTAAATCTTTGGCTCTTTCTTCCATTGTTGCCTTTTTTTTCTTCTAATGAAAAAGTAATAATACACGCATTCTTGGAATAACCCCATCTAGCCACTTTTGAATCAAATCCATCGTTTTAAATATCTTCTTGAACTTGATCCACTCTGTAACACCCCCAACTCGTATCCGACCCAGATCCGAGTCCGAAGTGTCACATTGACTTTTCAAAAACCTTTACTTGTATAAAATAGTGAGTAATTTAAAATTTATTATTACATATAACTTATTCAAAACCTTTATCGAACTATTCAGAGCTTATACAATATATTATCTTGAATACATGCCAACTAGAACTTTATGTATTAAAATACATATTATTCACCTTTCTTCTGATCTGACATTTGGTAAGGAGAACTGGCATGTCTTTCTCCACATTGCTCTTTATTCTTTTCACTTCGGTAACCTACGTGTGAAATAATCACACGCTAAGTCGATGACTTAGTGAGGCATTAAACACATTAAAGTAACTCTAACTACTTAATCATGCATGAACATATCATATCATGCTATCTGATCAAAACAATATAACATTTCATGTAATCAAATGTACACATATACACATCATCATATCAATTATATAATACAATTCATATCACAAAAGCATATACTTTACATGTAATATATATGTTTATTATTATCTCTTTGTTAGCCCATGTACATCTGTAAGAACTGTAGATATGTGAGTCTATTGAGGTTGTGCACTATGCTGTCACCACAGCTCGTATAAATGCACCGAAGTGCCACGTAGAATTGCACCGTAGTGCCGCGTAGAAATGCACCGAAGTGCCATATAAGGTTGTCCCTAAGGACCACATATCATTGCTTAAGAATCATATACATATGCCAAGGATCAAGTATGTGTCTCAAAAGACCTCATACATGTTCCAAAGAATACATATGTCCCGAAGGACCGCGTAGACCCTCGACTCTTGGCATGCCAACTATACCCTAGCTCTCATGACACATAACATGGGCATCATCATTTATGTCATTTCACATTTTCACACAAACGCGTAGTTCACTTTCACATAGCACGTAGATTATGTCACATAAGTTGAATCACATATATGTATAAACACGTAAATCACTTTCACATATCACGTAGCTCATATCCATTTTTCATACTATTTCACATTTCTTGTCACATTGCTTATATCTTATTTTTATATCTTATCCTATATATATATAGATAGTCACATGTTCATATAATCCATCATTTCCTCATCTAAATGTGTATTCATATAATTCATCTTCCTATATATATATATATATATATATCATTTTTCCTATACTTGTATTCACATCATTTATATTCTTCTTCTCATAATCTCATATGTCCTGATTAATAGCTTATATCATATATGTATAAAATAACTTATCTCATATCATATAGCTTATACCTCATTCTATGATATTCACCTAGATCATATCACATCTGTCATATTCATAAACATATGTCACTGCTATTATTTCATTTATATACTAATCTAATCTATTTACCTAGTTCAATTCATATAGTACCTATAACTTTCTAATATGACTACGTAGATTTCCATCATACAACCCATATATCATAATTTTATTTAAGCATATGTATCTTTCCCATCTAACTCATCTTATATGTTCCTATTATCACTTATGTTCAAGTCTCATATCATCAAATAGGTCAATATTATCTATCTTGTTTCAATTCTCATTCAATGATATAATTCTATTTTACTATTTCACATAAATGTTCATACCACTATTCACTTACCCAACTCACATTCTTATTGTTTATATAACCTTTACACTTGAGTACTTCATTCCCATCATTTCTTCTAAACTCGCTTTTTACCATATTCCCATATTATTACTTAATTTATCTCATATCATGTATTCGCATAATCTTATATTCCATTTCTATATATCTCAACGATCTTATCACATAACTTATCTTTTATATTCGTATGATTTCTTATCATATCATCATAACATAGCATATATTCACATCAACCATGAAATACATATATAATAACATGTCAACACATACCATAACATATAGCTCAGACACTCGTAACAAACACATGTTCATGTTCATGCGTCATGCACAATATTATAGAAATTAGACTTGTCGCAAGTCTTATTTCCCATTAAACATCATATATAAAATAATACGCACTCACTTTGGCCTCACTAAGTTCCAATCCATTTTTATAATTTCCTCTCTTGCGATCGAATCATAACTTGATAATTGTTCCGGGACTTGTTCGTGCTCGATATATATATAATCATACATTGATACATATTAGTATCCAATTGATATACTCCAATCTATCATTTCTTAGACCAAAAGAAAGGTATAATTCTATTTCCCTTGAAGTGCATCGATGCATTCTACAGTGTATCGATGCATCCCTTTAACATGTGCATCGATGCACTCCTTATGCATCGATGCATTAATTGCATTCGATGTTTCCATTTTTAATGCATCGATACTCAATGAACAATTTCTGGAAATTTACCCTTGATGCATCGGTGCACCTTGAATGTGCATCGATGCACATAGCCCAGAAATCCAATTTATGCCCGAAAATCCCCTCTTTTTAACTTAATTACTTCATATATCATTCCATTTCGTATTCTTAACTTACTCCTATTCAAACTCATTTATATTCATTTATCTCGTCTTGAACCTTAATATCATCTCCTCTTTATTAACTTCAAGAATTATACCAGATTTTCAACATGTTTTAAAACTCATTTTATCACTTCATATCTCTTAATTTAACCATTGACAAGTCAAATTTATCTTCCAATTTGAGTAATGAACTCTATTCCAAGATTTCATTTGTAAACTCTAAATCTTTAATCTCTCCTAACTCCACCATCCTTTGATTTTAAGATGATTTAAGCTTTCTTTAAGCTTAATTATCATCTAATAATCAAAACTCAAATCTTAAATTTAACCAAGAACTCAATAATCAGAAAACTCACCTTTGTCTCTTGGCTTTCACGCGTGAAGGAAGAAGAAAGATAAAGAGAATTCTGGAAACCACTTTGTTTCCTCTTCCCTTCCACGTGTTTAATATATAACCATATTTAAATATTTTCCTTGCAAATGACCCTTTTGCCCTTCAATTCACCTTATAATTACTAACATCTTTCAAGTAATATTTCAAAATAAATCATTGAACTATTTCATTCTTCTACTTTAGTCACCAAATTCTGAAACTTTACAATCTGATCACTAACCCGATATTGAGGATGTTACACACTCTCTCCCTTCTAAAGGTATGAAAACGTTTCAACTGACTATTCAAATTCCCACCTCACCCCCCCAATTATTACCTTGACAACCCACTGGCAATCTTCTAACACCAATCAGAGAGTCCCTATATGACCTCCCATGGTGAAACCTGTTGAACATCGCCTCTTTGTCTTCCATACTCCTTTGAAGAAACCTCTTCCGGTCTCTTCGACCTTGCATTGACAACTTTTATTGGATCTTTCTTGAACTTGGACTTTTGGTATTTTACCACTCCGACCGAAATTTTTCTCCCGTCAATCATCGCATTATTCATCTTCGGGATAGCATTTAGAAGATCCTCTTGCCTATCGAAATGAACAAAGGCAAAAGTGGAGTTTCTATACCTTGGTCTTCTGTTAACGAGGGGAATATACACCTTACTAACCTTCCCATGGTGATTAAATCGTTCCCTTAGAGGGTGTTTGGTTCAAGAATTGTGGGATTCCCATGTTTGGTTGGCCGAGAATCTCATTCCCGGTAATGTTTTGTTACCAATAGTAGATTTTTTGGGGTATATTACCGTTAATGTCATTACCTCCCTTCCCTTAGGTATTGTAACATTATCGGAGTTTTGGACTAAAATGCCCTTAAATTTTTATTTTTTTTTCAAAAATATCCTTCTTCTGTCATTGAATAATAAAAATTCTACGAATGTTAAATTACAAATTTATCCTTAAATTATTTTATATTTACAAAAAAAAATCTATAATTAAAATTTTATATAAAGTTCAGGGGTTAATTTTTTTTTTTACCTTTTCATTAAACATTTTTTATATTTTTAATTTTGTAAAAAAATTATATAAATATTATGAATTTAATTTTTTAAAGAAAATATATAAATATTTTACAACAACAACAACAACAAAACCCAATTCCCATATGTAATGGGGTAAGGGGGAGGTAGGGTAGTAGGCTGCCCCCAACGCCAGGTTGAGAGTAGCTTCCGTGGAAGACCTCCGGCATTCAGAAAATTAAAAATATAGATAAAATGCAAAGCATGTATAAATAAATACATAAATACATAGTTGAACAGTATTCATATGCAGTCATAAATATCATTAATATCATATGCGTGTTTGAAATTGGAAGTAATCCCTGCAAATAAATCCCTGCGAAAAAATCTATGCATATAGACAGAAACGTAAGACCCGACTAAATTTAAAAGTGAAGAGAATATTACACATAAGTCCACGATAGCAAGCCCAGTTCTAAGCCTTCATAAATACCAATAACAGAAACGTATAAAAAGTAGAATTCATGGAAATTACTACAAAGGCATTAAAAGAAGACAGAGATGATACACCCTAGAGATGTGACCCACACTACTCGACTACCCTAGTCTTTAGTCTCCATACTTTCCTATCAGAGGTCATGTCCTCGGTAAGGGCTAAATCCATCAAATCAGATCTCAAGCAGTCTTCCCACTTTCGCCTTGGTCGTCCTCTCCTTCTGGTACCGTCGACTGTAATCGACTCTACCCTCCTGACCGCATCCGACGGTAGTCGTCTAAGGACATGCCCAAACCACCGTAGTCTTCCCTCCCTCAATTTTTCAGAAACAGGCACCGCCCCCAAGGATATCCTAATAGTAGAGTTTGTTGTCATATCCCACAGAGTCCTACCGCATGTCCATCGAAGCATTATCATTTCTGCAGCCTCTATACTCCTTACATGATCCTTCTTGTTTGCCCAACATTCTGATCCATACAACAACGCTGGTCTTATTGCCATTCTATAAAATTTTCCCTTAAGTTTTAGAGGTACCTTCTTGTCACACAAAACTCCAGTAGCAGCCCTCCACTTTAGCCATCCCGCCTTTATACGGTGTGTTACATCATCATCTACACCCCCATCTTTATGTATCATAGACCCTAGGTACTTGAAACAATCCTTTGAGGGGAGAACGTGTTTTTCTATGCATACTTCTACATCTTCATCGTTTTGGTCCCCACTGAAGTTTGAACATAAATACTCTGTCTTTTCAATATTGATCCTTAGACCTTTTTCTTCCAAAGCAGTCTTCCAGGTAGTCAGTCTATTATTCAACTTAGATTTTGTTTCAGAAACTAGGACAATGTCGTCAGCGAAAAGCATACACCATGGTACACCGTCTGGTGTCGAACAATAGATGTCGTCCATAATCAAGGCGAAGATGTAAGGACTAAGAGCCGACCCCTGGTGGAGTTCGATTTCCACTGGGAATGCCTCGGTGTCGCCAACTGTAGTCCTGATGTTTATAGTAGATCTACAATACATATCACGAATCGCCCGGATATAAGCAGTTGGGATCCGTCTCGTTTCCAAAGTCTTCCAAATCATATCTCGGGGAACGCTATCATAAGCCTTCTCAAGGTCAATGAACGCCATGTGAAGATCTCTAGACTTTTCCCTATATTTCTCCATAAGTCGTCGAAGTAGATGAATCACCTCCGTGGTAGACCTGCCTGGCATAAATCCAAATTGGTTTTCCGAAACCCTAGTAACTTGTCTCAACCTAGTCTCTATCACTCTTTCCCATAGCTTCATAGTATGACTGAGTAGTTTAATACCTCCGTAGTTACCACAACATTGGGGATCTCCTTTATTCTTATAGATTGGTATCACCGTGGACTCTCTCCACTCCTCTGGCATCTTGGCAGTCTCTAAAATAATATTAAAGATGTTGGTCAACCACTTAACTCCCTCTTCTCCTAGGGCCAACCACACAATGATAGGAATTTGATCAGGACCGACAACTTTGTCCATTCCCATCTTTCTAAGAGCCATTTTGACTTCCTCAAACCCAATCCTACTTGTAGGGCAGTCATTGGCCGTAGTATGATGGTCGGCTGACCCATCAACGGTACTATCTCTACAGGGAGAGGCACCCTCATTAAATAAGTCAAAGAAGTAACTACCCCAAACCCTCTTAATATCATGATCTTTCGCTAGAAGAACACCATTGTTGTCCTTAATAAACCTAATGCTACCTAGATCCTTTTTCCTATTCTCCCTAGATTTTGCAAGCCTGAAGATGCCGTTTTGTCCTTCCTTGGTGTCTAATCTCTTGTACATTTCCTCGTATGCCTTATCCTTTGCTTTAGCCACCGTTTTCTTGGCTTCCCGCTTTGCCTCCTTGTATCTTTGTTTAGCTCTCGACCTTTCTTCGTCGTCATTGCATTGTAGAAACTCCTTGAAACAAGTTTGCTTTGTCTTCATCTTAGTTTGGACTTCGTCGTTCCACCACCACGATTCTTTATGTTCCTTGGCCTTCCCCGTCGACAACCCCAGGGTGTTTTTGCCCATCTCTCTGATGGAATTTGCCATATTTTTCCATAACAAATCTGCATTATTTGAGATTGTAGTTCCAAAACCTGTATTAGACAAAACCTTACTCTTAAAGTCATCAGCTGTCGCTCCATGTAACTTCTTCCAAAGGATCCTAGGTTTACCCAGTTTAGGTCTCCTATGAGTGCTTCTCCCGTGCGGTACGCGGAACACCAAAACCAACAATTTGTGTTGTGATGCACATGCCTCTTCAGGGTATACCTTACAGTCAATGCAAGCCCATCGATCCCGATTTCCCTGGTAATCTTTTATTCCCACTAGTAATCTTACATTCCGTGAACCAAACGCACCCTTAATGCTCTCCTAGAAACTCTTTTGCTAAGGTTATCAATGAAGGCTGACCAGATCAGTCCATTGGGGAATGAACCGTCTCTAAGATTCTCTCTCATTTTTTTAACCTTAGACTTATTAGAAAGATGAAGTACATAAAATATCTTTCAATAAGATCTTACAAGGACAACTACATTATTGAAGATCTGACATTACAGAGATTAGGAAAGTGCACAGAAAACATTAAGCTGTTAATGACTTTTGTAGAGGCTATTGAATTATAGATTAGATTATTTAAAAAATCTCAGAAATGTACTCAATTAATAGGTCAAATTCGGCTCATTTGTTTTGGCGAATTGATTTCAAATTCGGCAAGAACATTAACTAAGGGCACAATCACTGAAGTTTATGCTAATATGAAAGCTTCAGCTTGATGAATGCCTGGTTATGTTCCTAATTAAGCTCAGTTTGCTGCATTTATTCACCTCTTCGTTATTTTTGTCCTAGTCTATTCTATATTTTTATTTTGTTGTTGTTATTATAATGATAAAGATCTATTGACTTGCAGCTTAGGTGCCACTCCTTTGATGGAACTTATGATTGCAGCTGGAAAGACTGTCCCTCAGCTACAACTGGAATTTGGACTAGCTGTTGAAAGAGTGTATACTGGGTCATTTATGACCTCTCTTGATATGGCAGGTTAGTTTTTGATATAAGAAAGTTTTCTTTTTGTTGCAACTTGCAAGTATTGCTCATTATCAGTACAATGTTTCTTTCAGGATTTTCAATCTCTATAATGAAGGCAGATCAAACTCTGTTGCTACGCCTGGATGCTCCCACGAAGGCTCCACATTGGCCTGTTGGTTCTGCTGGTCTGTCAATGTGTTAGAATATTGATACTTCTTTATGTTTCATCTTTTCACTTGTCTATAAGATGCTTTAGGACGAAATGTCTGGAATTTAACATCATATATTGCATCACATAATGATGGTCTAAATTGAACTATTATGAAGAATATAAACTCAACAGTTAATTATAGTGGCTACAGCAGTTAACCATTTTATATTGAAAATTCAAAATAAATTTCAGGTGATTTTGGGTTTATTAAGCCTATGTTTCCTGTTTTCTTTTAGGTAATCGTCCACCTGCCAAGATTCCTGTTCCGTTGCCACCGTCTCGTTCGACAAAGAGTGAGGATGTAAGTTCCAGAAATTAATACTTTAGAAGACTATATTAGGAATGGACCTGTTGCTTGTTATAAAAAAGTAACCTAATTAAGTGTTACATTTAAAGTAAATAAAAATATCTTTCATGCAGAATGTAGATATTAGGTTTTTAGTTGCTGTCACTGAATTTTGAGTCTTTGATGTTACCATTGATAGATATAGATGATGGCTAATCAAATGAACAATTTGGACTATATTTTAGGGTTTTAGCAGTACTGCTATCAATGGAAGAGTATGTAATGACATCATATTTAAGCACTCATGTAAAAAAAATAATGTAAAGTTTAATTACTAATTTTTGTGTTGATCGATGTTACAAATTGGTCAAAGGTGCCCCTCTTGTTCCCATTGCCCCAGAGTAACAAAAAGTAATATGGGTTACATAAATTGTTTAAGGTCTTATTGCTGACGTTAGGCATTTTTCGCTTGAAAAATAAAATAATTTCACAAATGGCATCAGATGTTTTGTTGTCCAAAGGAGAACTAAAATAAAATAAGAATATATATATATATATATATATATATAGAGAGAGAGAGAGAGAGGGAGAATAACACAAATGTATATATATATATATATATATATATATATATATAGAGAGAGAGAGAGAGAGAGAGAGTAACACAAATGTACATTTTTTTATATATTGATAGATGAAATTCAATTCCTTGGAAATAGATCCTTAAATTATATCCTTTTCGGTAATGTGAATAGCTGGTAGGGGTTGTTAATATTGTTAAATGAGTTTTTGGGTACATGACATTGTTCATACCTTGTTGGGTTTGAGGAAAAGACAGTTTCTTGTTGTGGTTGACCGGCATCTTCATTCATGTTTGTTCTTGGTAGTCATTAAGTCGACCAAAGAAGCTTAGCGAACACGGCCGCATTCTTGAAACTGCTATTGAAGCAGCAGTAAATGCAGTAATTGATATGAGGGACAGTTTGAATGACTGGGATAGCAAAGTTGGTGATGGTGACTGTGGGTCAACAGTAAGTTGTGTACTCAAACTGTCTTAATTATCATTTATGCCTTTTGATTCACAATTTACTGTATGATATACATGATTAACTTGCATTTGCAGATGTATAAAGGTGCTACAGCAATCCTTGATGATATGAAAAAATTGTATGCACTTTGTCCATTATTTTCTTTTGTAATTTAGTTAGGGAGATTCTTCTAGAATAGTAGTTTTGGCAATCCCCAGCCAGATTTACTAAGACATATATTTACTTATGCAAGCTGTTTGCCACCATTGTAATTGGTTTTATGTTTTCTGGATATCTGTAGCTTTTTGATGAAGTGTCATAGGTTTTGATGAGTCATTATCTTTAGACAGGGAAGGGGTATATTTATCTTGTTTATAACGCTTTCCTGTAGTACCATGTATAATATATTATTTTAAGATTCCTCTTCTGATATGGTGCTTGCCAAGGTGTGCTTATAGATATTTTTCTTGGTCATAGAGATACTTGATTTCATTTTATTATACATTTTGTATTAGTGTCATTGCAAGAAGAATCCCATCGATGCTTGAGAGACTTGAATTCCCATAATTCTGCTAAGGATATTTCTGATGGGAGATATTTTAATGTATAAAACTGTTCTAGTCAAACAGACCACTGGTGTTTGGAGCATGATGTTATAGCTTTGTTTGTTAGCTCCGGTGTAACTCGTTTTTCCTCCATTATCATTTCTGCAGCGATTTGCTAGTGTAATGTATTGACTGATGGCTCGTGGCTGTCAGCTTTGGTTATGTGGTTTTACAATTTTTATAACAATGTTCTTTTACCTCGGTGATTGTCATTATAATATGTATTTTTGTTGTATATTTGAATCTTACTTGATGAATCATCTTCATCTGTCCCAGTTATCCTCTGAATGATGCTGCAGAAACAGTGAATGAAATCGGATCATCTGTCAGAAGAGCTATGGGAGGAACAAGTGGAATCTTGTAATTTATTTGCCCGTTCTCTGCTTGATTTTTACTTACAGATATAACTAGAAATATAACACACTCTACATTTTTCTCTGAACAGATACAATATATTTTGTAAGGCAGCATATGCAAAGTTGAAAGCTAACTCAGATTCAGATGTCACAGCAAAGCAATGTGAGATAACGATCTTCTGAAACATTTTTTACTTGGACACCTCGTCTTACTGACATTTTATTTCAGGGGCTGAAGCACTCGAAGCTGCCATTGCTGCAGTCAGTAAATATGGTGGGGCTAATGCTGGTTATCGTACATTATTAGACGCACTTATTCCTGCATCGTCAGTTCTGAAGGAGGTTAGATCAATTGCCATTTTGCTCCTTTTTGTTGATCCGGTCCTAAGATTTCACGCTAAGAATTTTGTTTTGCAAGCAGAGATTAACTGCTGGTGATGATTCTTCTACTGCATTTGTTCTTTCATCCGAAGCAGCATTGTCGGGAGCTGAATCAACTAAAGACATGCAGGCGCAGGTTCTGTATCATCTTACCTTCACCTTGTTTAGTATTTAGGATTTTGATTTGATTGCACTGGACTATTTCTTTTGGTTGGATGATGTTGGCTAGAAAACTTCATTGAAGTAGGAAGCTGTTGTTGGGATATTGCAGGCAGGGTGGTCAAGCTATGTGTCAGCGGCTATCCTTGCGACAGTTCCGGATCCGGGGGCGATGGCAGCAGCTGCTTTGGCTGTGAAGGCTAAATATGAAAAAGCTTCTTGAACTCCCATCTTTCATCTTGAGCTCCCATCTTTCATCTTGAGCACTCATTCTACCTTGGCCGAGTTTTGTTTAGTAATTGGCTTTCCGCTTTTGCTTTTTTCCTCTCTTTTTCCGGATGCATCAAGCTGAGAGAGCCAGTTTCATACGCATACATACACACAATACTTCATTGAGTTTTAAAGCAATTCCCAAATGTATGGTGGTAAATATACTGTTACAAAACAAACAAATTAGTTATTAAATCAGTCTTTCCTGGATAATCAATGACGTAATAATAATCTTTATATGTCTATATTGCCTCAAGTTTAGTTCTTTCTGTGTAAACAGATAGCGTAAGAATTTTATGATCGGTATAGATATAGGACTTCTTTTTATATAGGTAATGTCTTCAAATCTTCAATGTAAAGATTACTAATGCTAACTCTAAATAGGTGTGATAATTACGTTTATTCGACTTTAGCTGTCTAGATGCATAAGCAATCACTTTACCCTCGTGCATGAGTACACGCTCGAGTTCATTCAATGATAATCCCACACAGTCCTTCCCCAACAAACCCAAGAAAAATGTGAACCTCAATAACATTCCTTGACAGTTTCTAATCTATTACTGTTTGAATCTTATGTGGGCCAACTTTGACACCATCTAATGCAACTATGCGACCTACAAAGGTCACCTTAGTTAGTCAAAACTCACACTTATTGAATTTGGCGAGAAGTTTGAAGCATAACTCGTAGATGATGATCATGCTCATCTTCTGATTGTGATTATACCAATATATCATCAATAAAGACCACACAAATTGATCTAAATAATGCTGAAAGATTCTATTCATAAAGTACATGAATGCTTTTGGCACATTAGTGAGATCAAACATCACCAAGAACTTTTAATGGCCATATATAATCCGAAAGACTGTTTTTGAAATATCTATTTCCTTAACTTTCAATAGATAGTATCTCGATCTTAAGTCAATCTTAGAAAACAAATAAGTATCCTTTAACTAATCGAACAAATTGCGTATAATCGAAAGGCGATACTTGTTCTTTATTGTTGTCTTATTAAACTGACGATAGTCGACACATTATTGAACAACTTAATTATTTTTAATAATTAATAATTTGATGTTTATGTATTTACTTTATTAAAGAAATATAATATATTAAATAATTTGATATATATATTAGGAAAATGGGAAGTGCGAATTGAATAATGGTTGGTGTGCCAGCCTTTAAATGGAGTAAATGGCACAACTACCTGCACTTCACTAACCATTAATGACATTCAAAGTTGACTTCCCCAATTTCCATTCATTCCTTAATCCTTATCGTCCAAGCATCACCTAAACATTGGCTTTATTTATATTTTATTTATTCTTATATAAATATTAGGGTAAACTATGTATTTAGTACCTAAACTATTAGTTTTGATCTATTTCAGTACCTAAACTTTCAATTTTTTTCAAAACCATACCTAACATTAGTTTTTGTTTCATTTTAGTACCAGCTGTTAACAACTTAACGTGTTTATTACATAAACTATCAAGTTTGGTCGTTTTAGTACCTAAACTTCCAATTTTTTCCAAAACTTAATGTTAAATTTTGAATAGATGTACCAAAATGAAATAAAAAGTAAACGTTATGTATGATTTTGAAAAAATTAAAAGTTTAAGTGGTAAAACGGATTAAAATTGATAATTTAAATACTAAACATGTGATCTACCCTAAATATTATTGCCAGTAGAGATCACACTAATGTCAAACACTTTATCAATTTAGTCCTCATTAACTATATAATAAATGCCATTTGTAACCTCTTTTCCCTTCACAATTTTAATTTAACAAATATCAACAATAAAGCATTCTACAATAACATCTATTTTTTTCTGTCGTCTAAAATAATTTCAATTTTTATAGAACTGTCCACGGAAAAAATTCATTTTCATTTTTGATTTTCAGAGTTTTGTACTTTTGTACGTGCCAAGGATCAATTTTTTATAGAAAATAACTTCAGTGACCGAAAATGCCTTATAATATACGATTTTAACTAACTTTTTTTGGATTTGCGAAAATAACCAACAAATTCGCAATGCGAACTCCAATTTCGTAACTCAGTTTCCAAATTCGCAACTCCATTTCTGAAATCGCAACGCGATTTTCCAAATTCGCAACACGAAATTTCAAATTCGCAACTCGATTTCTGAATTCACAACGCGAATTTCTTTTCGCAACACAAGTTTCCTTTTCGCAACAAGATTTTGTTTTCGTAATTCGATTTTCAAATTCACAACACGAATTTTAATTTCGCAACAACTTTTATTTTCACAACACAAATGTTTTGGGTATATAAACTACGCAGCAGCAATAATTCATAACCTAAATCCCTAAATCGCAACTCATTTCATCTCCATCTCTCACTCTCTCCGGCGACATCCGTTCCTATATCCAATGACATCCTTCCCCATCTCTAATCTTTTTTACATAATTTTATTTCTATATAATTTTTCAATGATTCCTCTCCCAAATTATCAACTATCAACTTAATAAAGGTATGTTTTTCTCTAAGTTAGTGATGATATCTAGTTTATAGCTCGTTTGTTTAGTAAATTAATTTACAATTTGTAGAATGAAATCATCTAATGTTGATCATGTTTGGATAGATTTGTGTTTTGGAGGGTCATGGGAGAATGTTAATGGTTTTTTACAATATATAAAGCATTTACCCATGAATCTTCAACTAAAACTGTCATTAAAAAAGTTAACTTATGAAACTCTAATGTTATGTGTTTCAAAGAAATTGAATTTAGAGCCTCTAAGTGGATTTAGGCTATCTTATCAGAGAAAATGTAAAGTTTATTTGTTAACCGACAATGAAGATGTTGAACGATTCATTGCTTACATTAGTGTTTCGCAAGATGATGTTACATTGTATGTTGTTGAACCTAGAAGTAGTGAAATTGGGTCAGTAGCTGGTAGTAATAAACTAATTTCTTCAGCCCCAGTTTATGGTGCTCACAATGTACAACGTTGTTATCAACCTCAAAATTTAATGGTTCTACCACAATTTCATCACCAAGAAAATTTTGTTTCACCACATTTCCAATACCAAACACAATATCAAACACAATCTCAAAACCCACAACCTTTCCCTAATCCAAATCCCAATCAAGTTTCAACACCAAATTCTGGTTTTGGTATTGACCAGATAGACGATAATGAGCCAACAGAAAAAAATGCGAGTACTAGTCAGTATTCGAAATTTGATCTTGGTCAATACCTGAACTTTGATCTTGGTCAATAATCGGATTTTGATGACATTTCAGAAGAAGAAACAGACCCTGTGTGTAATGATTTTGATATTGGTCAATACCCGAATTTTGATGATGAAACAACCACTACCGAGGAATATGTTGTTGATGATAATGAGGAGGAAGTTACGGCTATGAATGAACATGTTAAACATCCATTCTGTAATTTATATAACCCTAAAGAAGAAAAACAAGAAAAACAAGAATGAGAAGTCCCCAAAGAAAAGAAAAAGAAGAAAATACCACGGGAGTATAACAGGAATATGCCAGAATTACTTCAGATACCGGAAGAAGTGTTGGTAAAGATAGCAGTTGATTGTTACACAAAAGTTATTCGTATCAAGAAAGATGATTGTTTTGATACAAAGGAAGACTTGAAGATAGCTTTGTATACGAAATGTGTGGAAGATGGCTATCAACTAAAAGTTAACAAATCAACCAAAGATCGTTTCGAAACAAAGTGTATGATTGGCAAAAACTGTACGTGGCGTATGATTGTAAAGAGGATAAAAGATTGCGAAATGTTTCAAGTTAGGACTTTTATTGATAAACATACATGTTCAAGAACTCAAGTTTTTCCTCACCATAGACAGACAAACAAAAAGGTGTTGGGTGGTTTTCTGGCTGAGTTATTGTTTTTGAATGGCAGAGTATATCGTGGACATGAAATTATGACTGACATGAATGCTCGGTTCAAAATTAGTATCTCATATTCTCAAGCTTGGAGAGCCAAATGTTATTCCTTGGAATTGTTGAGGGGTCGCCAGAAGCATCGTTTCCCCAACTGCCGACTTATTGTCACAATTTAAAGCTGAAGAATCCTAGGTTGGTAACTCATATCAAAATAGATAGAGATGAACATTTTGAGTTGCTGTTTATCGCCATTGGTGCTGCGGTTAGTAAATCAATATAATTTTGTTGACTCATTTTTGTTAGTTACATGTATTTCACATTTAAATGATTATATTTATTGTGTATATTATTTTGTAGATTCGTTCGTTTATTACTTGCATGCGCCCATTTATTATAGTTGACGGAGCACATTTGAAAGGTCGATACCTTGGAGTAAACTTATTAGCAGTAGCCATGGATGCTAACAATGGGATACTGCCAATAGCTTACGGGGTTTGCAAATCAGAAACCTTTGATTCATTGACATGGTTTATGGGTCATCTTAGGGATTGCATAGGTCCTATTAGCAATCTGACAATCATATCCGATAGGACAAACTCAATTGACAACGCTATTAGAAGGTGTTTCCCAGATGCTTTTCATGGACTTTGTGGTGTTCATTTGTATAGAATTCTAAAATCAAGGTCTGCTGGTATAAAAAATCACAAATGGACATACTGGAAGGCTGTAAAAGCTTATCGGGAAGTGATTTTTAATAAGCATATAAATTGTTTAAGACGTGTTTTGCCTCAATGTGCTCAAACACTAGAAGATGTCGGGTTTGAAAGATGGTCAAGAGTACATCAACTTGGAGCAAGATATGGTTTCATGACGTCTAATAGTGCAGAATCAATCAACGCTCTAAGTCGTCATTCCCGAAAATTACCCATTACTATGTTAATGGAGTTTTTTTGAGCCTCTATTCAACAGTGGTACTACAAGAAAAGAAACCATGCATATATTATTTCTTTAAATTCGTAACTTATCATATTTAATAGATTTTACTAAGTATTATTTATTTAAATTTACAGGAATATTAGAACGTCGTGTTACACCATGGACTGAAAAAAAAGATAACGAAACGTGTTGTGAAGTCAACGTCATGGAGAGTTGAACCATGTTCAAACACTTTGT